GAGCTGTTTCTTATACCGCCACTACCGCTTGGTGTTTAAAAAGAAGGAATCGTCATCTGTAAGGGTATTTAGAGTTTCGGGCATGCCTCCACAAAGCTGGAGTTATTTTCTCTCTTGTTTACAATTTCGCTTGCCAGAGGGGCGGCTAATCCGCTTTCGAATCGAATCGAATCGAATCAAGGCATTGCTTATCAAATCTCTTCATATAACATTTTTGCACACCGTACATCCAGCCATGTTTTGTGCCTGGCCTGATACAAGGTCACCCATCGACATCGACATTGACATCACTTCGATTAGAGGTGTGAAAGATAGAGCCAATAGGGGCAGGGAAGTGGCAGTATACGGCGAAATTCCTGAGTATATGGCACCCTTCAGGTCACACAAGTCTGTGTTGACAATTCACTGAGAGTAGGCTGGGGAAAACCCTCAAAATGCAGATAGTGGAGATGATCCTTGTCGCCAGTGAAGTGCTTTACATTTGCTTATCAGTGGCTAGACCTCTAGACGCGAATGATCTACGCTCCCAGACGCACATGCTCGTATGTAAATGATCTCTAAAAAATGTCTGCGCCATCTTGGGGCGACACATCACATCACATCAAATCGATTGGCGCCACATTAAGTAATCATCAATTCAATTCAATTTGCTATTAATAATTGAAGCGCAATTCAAGCAGAATATTTCTGTTGCAAAATTCTGAATTGAGTTCCACAAATGGCGGAATGATTTGATTGGTATTTTGGCAATGTTTAATGGATCGACCGGATGGCAAGGGAGTACCCTTAGCATTGATTGAGCTTAATTTCCGCAAACCCAAAAACACGGGGGCAGATCTCTGAGATCACGTGTGCCTTTTGGTCACGATGGTATTTTATGGATTGCAATGTCTAAATCTAAATTGCAAGGATTTGGATAACGTATTGAGGCATTTCTAACCGAATATCAAATTGACATTTCAGAATTCGCCATCACCTTGAAGTCGAAAATACTGTTTGTCGATGAATTCTGGCGCACTTTGGCCTCGGCGGCCCACGAGTTCGATGAACTGTCCGCCCTGACCTTTGACGAAACGGAGGAGCTCATCTACTTCAACGATCAGCAGCACCGGAATGGCAGCATATTCTCGCTGCGAAGAGATGCCCTGATGGCCTCCCACATAGCCGAGCAGGCGATACAGCGAACGGGGAATGAATCTGTGGGAGGATTGGCCTACGATCCGCTCAATCGGAACCTCTTCTGGTCGGACACGCTCCAGAAAAAGATCTTCTTTGCCTCGATCGATAGTAAAGTAACGGAGACGCCCAAAGTGTTGGTGGATCTAAGCCAGGAGGGTGCACGCCCCGACGGCGTGGCCGTGGATGTCTGTCGCAGAAAGCTCTATTGGACGAACTCCAACATCACGCATCCCACAGTCGAGAGCATCGATTTGGCTGGCACTAACCGCCAGGTGATTATCGACACGGACATCGATATGCCGCGTGGCATTGTGGTGGACCAATTGTCGGATCGCATTTTCTGGATCGACGATCTGAAGGGCGTGTTCTTCGCATTGAAAAGTGCGCGATTGGATGGCTCCGATCGCCAGTTGGTGCTGCACGACAAGCACCACGAACCCCTGAATCTTGCGGTGACCAATGATGCCATCTACTGGACGGACAAGACCACCAAGGCGGTGTGGAGTCATCCAAAGGTGCCCATTGTCAAGGCCACCACTACAACGAGTCCGGTCAAAGCAGAGGAGGAAGACGCCACGGAGACCATCCCAGACATCGAACCAGAGCCCGTGGCAGAGGTCTCCGCCCTACTTCGCGTGGCCAATCTCAGCGAGGAGGCACGCGGCATTGTGGCACGCACTGGGTTCTATCAGCGACTGCAGAAGGATGAACATTGCGCCAATATTGTTCGAAAGGTCAAGGAGCGACTGGATCTGATGACCAAGAAAAAGCAAATGCGCAGCCTCGTCGACGAGAAGACGGCCCAACTGGAGCGCGATCATTGCCTGAATGGCGGCACCTACATTGCAGATCGGGTGCTGTGCATCTGCCCGACAGGCTTCAAGGGCTCGCGCTGCGAGATTCGCGAGTGCCACAACTTTTGTGTGCACGGCACCTGCGAGATCAGCGATCGAGCGTATCCCAAGTGCTACTGCCAGCCGGGATTCTCGGGCGAACGTTGCGAGATTAGCAAATGCTCGGGACTGTGCCTTAATGGCGGTCACTGCAAGCTGGAGGACATCTCTGAGAAGCCCAGCTGCGAGTGCCCCCATAATTTTGCGGGAGAGCGATGCGAGCAAAACTCCACGGAGATCTGTGCGTTATTTTGTCGCCTGCTGAAGCATGAGGCGGATATATATGTGCCCTTTGGTTGTCATGATATGTGAGTAGAGGCATGGAGTCCTCAATGCAATCCTCAACTAATTCTTTCGGGTATTCTCCCTTTTAGTTGCGAGGAACTGGCCAAGGATGCAAGCGATAAAATCGCCATACCGCAGTATCACCATCTGGAGGTGTGCATGACGCCTAGTCCATGGACAAGCAATGTGATCATTGTCCTCGTTTTGGGCATAGTCTCGTGCTTCTTCCTGGTGGCCGTCATAGTACATGGCTTCCGTCGTCTGTACAAACCGAAGAGGCCACGCATCAGGAAGACATTTGTGGTACGAAAGCAGGCGCGCACGAACTCCTCCGGTGACACGCCACTGACCAATCGCCCACTGGCCACAGAGCAGTGCGAGATTACGATAGAGAACTGCTGCAACATGAATATCTGCGAGACGGTAAGCGGGGATATACTCAGGATAAATTCAAGACACTCTTTGACCAATTCGATTGCCTATCCATTTCATTAGCCCTGTTTCGATCCCAAGCTGGTGGAGCAGACGCTAGCTAAGTCTTCCAATTGCAAGGAGGACAAGAAGATACTAATCCACAACATGGACGATGATCTGTACTAAAGGGAGGGGCCCAAAAAAGGAGCCGCTCTATCAAAACTGGACCTTGTGATAGTCGTTGTCGAGTGCGGTGTTTGGTATTCGAGCTTGAAAAGCTGCTGCCCGCCCGGCTCTCGGCCCCGTTTGCCGTCAAGGTGCACCCATTCAGAAAACACCAGAAAAGCCACCCAGAGAAGATGTAGAAGATGCAGTAGCTGGTGGTGGAACACTTAACACTCGCCAAAACCATTTACTTAAACCGAAAGCAACATTTGTACTTAGCAGATCTTCCGATCGTAGGACTGCTTTGGTCTCTCGTTAATTTATTTTAGTGAATCATTTTTCATTGTAGGGTTTTATTACAATTTTATTATTTTTTTTTTTTTGTTTTTTAGCTTACAGCCGAGAGAGAAATCCCTTTAAATTCGATTCTTTTTATTATATTCTCACTATTTTTGGTTTTTTCTTTTAATGAAATTCGCTATGGAAATGATGAAAGTCGGGAGTGACTGACATTAGCTTTAACATGGAATATACACACGAAAAAAAAAAAAAAAACAAAGAACCGCACAACTCTCGCGGCAGAGATAAGGCCCATTGTGATTTATGAAAACGTTGAAAACTGCTGTAAATAATGGTGTAATAGATACGATTATTCATTGAAGAAGTTCCTGCTCTATTGTAAAAAAAAAATTACCGCCGTCTCATGACAACTGCAATGCCCGCCCCCACCCCGCCCACATATGCCATAACTTGCCCATTTCCCCTGCTAACACTGATCCCCTCCTCTTCCCAACCTCTCCAGCAAAAACCGGAAATGAAGCTCTAACCCAGGGAGACGAAGAGAGTTGTAAATATTAAAGAATAGTTTATTTTTAGTTTTAGTCCTTAAGCAAAAGGGTTGAATAAATAACAAAAAATTAACTACATGCAGTTGTATATGATATTTGTTGTACTTACTTGGGACTTTACTTTCCACAGAATGCTGTCACTTTACTTTACGATATAGTATATATTTATTTATGTATTTGTGTAAGAATCACAAGATCATCTATATCCTAGCTATCCAATTGCGCAGGCTATGCTGATTTTCATAAGTTGCCGGTAATCGTTGCACTATTCATCATTATTTCCTTTGTTATTTGATGCGCTTAATAACTGCCCTTCAATATTATATTATTCTAATTTGTACACATTTTCACCAGGATTATTCGTGAATCATTTTTTACTATATATATATATATATATATATATATATACTATATAGTACTATACCGATTAACAGCAACAATTTCGGGACTTTTTACATATTCTAAAGGCCATTTTTGGTATTTTTAAAATTGATGAGACCATAAACTTAGAACGAAACTTCGTGTGCGCCAGTCGACGTAAAAACGTATTAAAACTGAAAAGAAAATTCGATAACAGTATATACTGTATGTATAGGATAAAGCCGTACTGTTCGTGACCGTTTACGGTGTTTTAAATTATTTTCGGTATTTTTTAAAGGTACAAATTGAGCCGACGTTATGTTTACGGTATATGATGTATAATCATTTATTCCAATGGATTGCATTTAAATCCTTGTTGCTCATTCACTCTTAAGCAACATACGTAAAACAGTAATCAATTTTACTTATGTTGTCAATTTTCATAGCTGTTTTACTGGAATTACACAAAATCTCAAAACATGACAACAATCCTCATGAAAGTTGAGTAAAGTGGGAACTTTGCCCAATATGAGTTAAACTCCCATATTGTCAATTGGTTAGAACACCCGGCTCTCATCCGGCTCGGTTTCAATTCCCGGTATGGGAAACTGTCAAAAGTTTTTTTTTTTCATCTGTAATATATTTTACGCGAGGGTAATTTTGTCGAACACCCTAATTAAAAAAATGAATTTTATATCCTACTTTTTTAAACTCAAAAGTCGCGGCTACTTAAAGATGGAAAATATGTAGTATTTTTTAGTGGTTTTTCCGCGGGCTGGGCTGCCAACTGGTGTTAAGGGCGATCAGCTGTTCATTGATATCAGTTTTTTTTATTGCCACAAAGTTTTTGTCTGCGTAATGTAAATTGTAATGCGGAATTGCAGAATGCTCCTCTAGACCAGGCCCCCATGCGAGCAATATGAACGATGCGGCTTTCTCGGGCTTCTACAGCGGCATTGGCAACCAGGTGAGCCCCATGCGCAGGCAGAGAGAGTACATCTCGCCAGAAAACGATGCCGTGTGTTTTCCAGCTGCACCCGCCCCTCCATCAGCAGCAGCAGCAGCAACAGAGTCAGCACCAGCACCAGGAGCTGTCCCTGTCTACGCCCGTGCACGCCCTGGAGCCGGACACCAACTTCACCAGCTTCTTTGACGATGACATCGTGACCTGCGGCTCCACATCCTCTTCCGCTATCTGGCTGCCCATACAGCTGGGTAACGGCAATGTTCCCAATGGAGGCATCAATGGAGCGAACAAGGCAGCCGCAGAGGTTCCCTTTGTCCAGATCCACACCACGGACCTGCAGCAGCAGGCGCAGCCGGAGAAGAGCTATCGCAATGCCTTTCGCCGCAGGACGGCGGAGATCAAGTCCGAGGAGTTGATCAAATCCGAGCTGGCCGAGGCCGCGGCCAAGGAGCGCCTGAATGCCACGCCCACGCCACCCACACGCAACTCCAGCTGCGCCAGTGTCGAGGGAAAGGCCATGGTCCAGGAGGCGCCGATTCTCTTCAGGTGTCCCAACTGCCCGTTTCTCAGCCTCTGCCAGGTGAAGTCCAGCCAGCACGTGAACAATTGTTTTGGAACCAGCGCCGAGCAGCAGAGACAGTGTCCAGGTGAGGATTTAATAAAATAATGGAATCCAGGCTCATGCCTAATCCAATCGGTTTTCAGGATGCCCGAACATCTTCTATAGCAGCGATGCCCTCAATGTGCATCTCAGCCTGGACCACCAAATGGATGACGATGAGATTGTGACCCTGCTAGGTGGCACAGGCACACCCCCTGAAGTAACCGGCAATAAGCAGCCTCTGCCCAAGAGCCGAATCTTCATCAAGAGCGTGGACTGCCTGAGGGAGCCCCTCCAGGATTTCCTGCCCCTTCTGCAGCAGAATACCGATACTCCAGTCACTGGCAACATTCTCGATCTACTCGATGAAGTGGGAGAGACACCGGAACTGGCGTCCAGCACTGAACAAGTGGCGCCGCCCTGCCAGAAGCCCAGCCAGAAGATATCCATTAAGAGCGTGGACGTATTGAGGGAGCCTGCACTGCTGACCTTTGATTTTCAGCTGCCCAATGGCGGCCAGGAGATGCCTCTGCTGGCGGACAGCAATCTCGTGAGTGTGCCAGTGGTGGGGGGCGAGGTGGAACCGGAGAAGCCGCGTCAGCCCAAGATCTATATCAGAAACGTGGACATCCTCAAGGAGCCGATGTTGCTGCCCTCCTCCCTGCCCGCCATGGGCTTCAATGGAGGCGTGGCCACAACACTAGCGATGCAGAATAATGGTGGAGCAGGAGGAGCTGCCAGCGATGTCTTCCAGGCGGATACGTTACTCACGCCAACGGGTCCGCTGCCAGGATTCGAGCCCAGCCTGGCGCCACTGGCCAACATGTGCTCCGAACCATTCCCCTTTGATTCCGTGCTGAGTGTGAGCGGAGGTGGTGGCGCCTCCGCTCTGGAAAACACGCGCTTCAGTGCCTTGGACTTGGACTTTGGCGTAGATTTTGACCATGGCATAGCGCCACTGCTCACAGAGGCCACCCCTCCGCCACCGCCGCCGCCGCCAGTGCAGTCCGGACTTTCGGAACTGGAGCAGCCCGTTGAACTGCAGCACTACCTGCCGCCGGCTCCGAGCACCACGAAGCAGAAGATTTTCATTAAGAACGTGGACATCCTGAAGGCTCCCCAGCGGGGAACCCTCCACCTGCGCACCGTCGACGAGCTCAATTTTATGACCCGCAATGAGGTGGAGCGCCTGATAGTACCCAACCTGGAACCCATGCCAAAAATGGAGCCCCTAATGGACCAGCAGCAGCAGCACACGCAGCCGCAGTCGCAGCCGCAGCCGCTGGACCCTCTGCAGCTGGAGTCGCAGAACTCTCAGACGCTTAGCGAGTTCCAGGCTCCTCTGAGCGGCAGCTGGCCGAGCGAGGACAGCTACGACCTGGCCGGGGATCTGGAGTGCTGGCCCTGGATCGAGGAGGCAGTTCAAGAGGTCATACCCCTGGCTGATCCAAATGAGACTGCCGCTGCAGCCGAAACACAAGTGGAGGCCCTTCCCCAGTCCTCGGACGATTTCCCCCAGTTGTATCCCTCACCGCCAGAAGCAGTACAGAGCGGAGGAGAAGCAGTGCCTCCCCTGGTGCCCGTCAGCGCCTCAGATGGCACTGCAGGCGCTGCCGCAGGCTCCGGCCCGAGCAGTCTGCCCCTTCCTCCCCTGGTTCCTCTGGCGGCGGAGGCGGGCGAGAAGCCGGGACGCATCTATGTGGCCAACAATCTGCTGCCCGCCGCCGTGGATCCGCTGCCGGGTGGCACTTCTGTGCGTGGGCGTCCCTATGGAACCAAGCTGGCTGCAGGAAGCGGCGGAGGAAAACGAAAAGCAGCGCCGGGTATCAGCCAGGTGTCCGAGGGAGGCAAGTGCCAGGTAGAAGGCTGCATGTTTCGCTTCAAGTCGCCGGCGACGCTGGAGTATCACGGACGCTGCCACAACGACGTACTGGGATCATCCCAACCGATGGTCTGTCCGGAGTGCCGTTCGTCGGAGTTCAGCAACTGGAACTGCCTGCACACGCACCTGTGGCGCACACACCAGATTGACATGGAGCTCTACTGCTGCCAGCTGTGCAGCTTCAAGACGCCCATCTACTCGCGTCTGGTCAACACCCACGCCAAGATCCACTCCGAGGAGCGCAACTACAAGTGCGAGCAGTGCGGCAAGGGATTCAAGAACACCAAGCAGCTGAAGAACCACAGACGGCTGCACCGTACCCAGGGACTTGGAATGGGTAAAGTTTCGCATCAAGATCAGGCGACAGCCGATGCCGATGCTCCTCCTCCTCCTACTGCCATCCTGCATCGCTGCGGTGACTGTGGGGCGGCTTTCAAGCAGCGTAAGACCCTGCGCGAACACCTCTGCAAGGAGCGGAACGAACAGCCGCAGTGTTCCCTCTGCCAGCGGGTCTTCAGCTCCAAGAGCAGCCTCAAGCTACACCTGCGCAGCCACCAGGCGAACAAGCGCTTCCAGTGCGACACCTGCGAGTACGAGGCGAGTGACCACAACGCCTTTCGACGCCATCTGGCTACGCATCGGGACCGCAAGCGATATGCGTGTCCTCATTGCGACTTTCGGGCGATACAGAGCACTGCCTTTCGGGTTGGTTATCGGATCCTTATTTTGTTTCACATATAATTGATTTATTTCCCCCGATAGATACACCTGCAGAAGCGCCATCCTGAGCAGGAGCTCTCGTCCATTATTTACAAGTGCGATCTGTGCAGCTTCTCCAGCATCAATCAGGGCCTGCTGCAGGTTCATCAGGCCAAGCACGAGGCATCATCATCGCCCAACCAACAGCCGCCTACAGGGGTATTTCCTGTCTCCCTACATGTGGCACCACCTGAGGCAGTTGCTCTTGCTGTGGCTGCTCCCGAGGCAGTTCCAGTTCCAGGGACGGTCTCAACGCCATCACAAATCAAGGTGGAGACCAGTCTGCTGCTAGCTCATTCCAGTACAAATGTCGCCAAAACGCAGGCGGTTGGTCCTTTGGTAGATGTCCTACAATCCTCATAATCTTCCTTATCCCCCATCTGTATATCACACAAAGTGCCGTGTAGCTTATACAACAATTTTATACCAAATTATACCAATGTTAGTTATGGCTAAGAATGAATCAGAGATGCCTCTCCTCTCCAAAGAACGGAGTTTCCTAGTATCGTACCCTTTGGCGGGGAGGTCTCTCTTTGGCTTCGGAATGCTTCGAAGATAGATAGATGTGTACATATCCACCCTGTGTGGGATATAGATGTATCGTTAAGGATCTGTTATTGTATATACTGTATATAAAGGTGGTTAATTGGGAAGTTCTGGGCAATGTGAACTGTAAACAAAGAAAACAAATGAGCAATCCTTTGCTTATCCTTCAGATCAGTGCGATTGAAGTACTTGACGAAAATACAACAAAATATATTGAAAGTCTAACGATATTCTGCTTACAATGTCCAATGGCGAGGGTGGCAAGAAGAAGAAGCCCAAGAAGGAGGCCAAGGATCTGAACGAGCAGGATCTTTTGTGTAAAGAAGAAGCCCCCACAAATGTCCGCCAAAAAGGACAGCAAATGATTCGTTTTTGGTTCGCCAGCAATAAATTGAGATAAACTCTACTTTCACTGCAGTGCAATGATGATTAATCGTTGGCCAGTCTGTGGGTTGAGGGTCAGGCATATGGGATATGGGATGTGGGACGTGGTATATGGGGGTGGGATCTGCTTAAAAAGCCATCACCGAAATGTGACATCTACCCCCCAAATGACCAATAAAAAAGAACAGGCCTTTGGGTTGAGCGCAACAAATGCGACAAATGGGAAATTTATGCAACTTTATTTTTTCACCGAAAATAGAGTAATCATTGTCCTTGGACGACGGCGACGGCGATACATGAATCAATCCGCCGTCACAAAACAGACCGGACAAAAAATCTGGAAACAACATCGATACGTTTCACAAATTCTTTGGTCATGGACCACCTGGCAGTGGAACATCAACTCTATGGCTGGGCCCAAGAAGAAGTCGAAAAATGTATCATTGGGTTGGTTGGAAAAGGGCATGCTTCGATCGACCTAGTTCAACGGTTGGTGATGATGCACCATGGACACCACAGACGGGATAAACGGTAAAAATGGGTACTGTGCGGAATTGGCCATTGCAATATCTTCATATATGTAGATATAGATAGAAGCATCTTTGGGAATTAGAGTGACCATTGCATGGAGAGTCAGGCCGTCAAGCGGAATTTTTCTTGTGGAATTTATTTGAATTTTGAGCACCCTTAACACTCCTTTCAGAGGAGAAGAAAAAGTTTTTGTAGATTGGATCGTGGAGAAGTGGAAAACATTTTGAAAAGCAATGAATTCAGTTTCAAGGCGGGCACATACTATAGCAGGCATATGAACGATTGTTCGAAATGACACCACTTGTTCATAAACACATCTATATATGTATCATATAGTTGTCATGTGTGAAAATAGATTTATGGGTCGTCCACCTGCAAGGGTATGCAAGCTTTCGTGACCGGAGGTTAACTTCCATACTTATCTTAGGTTATCTTGGGCTTCGTTGGAGGAATAATGTAATTTAATCAAACATTTAGTATAATTTATAAAACAAACAAAAAAAGTAAATTGAAAATTTAAACCGGCCTTTCCTTGCGCTCGAGGGTGCTCTTTGGCTTGGTCTCTGGCTTGGTCTTGGGTTTGGTCTGGGGTTTGTTCTCTGGTTTTGTCTTTGGTTTGGTCTCTTGCTTGGTCTCCGGCTTAGTCTCTGGTTTGGTCTCTGGCTTGGTATTGGGTTTGGTCTTGGGTTTGTTCTCTTGTTTGGTCTCTGGCTTGGTTTTTGATCCGGCCGAAAAATCTTGTGCCATTTCCGTTTTCTCCGGCTCTGCAATCTGAATAGCAACCGTTTTTGGATTGAGGGCAAGTATTTGAATAGATACGATTTTGAACCATTGATTTTTTATACTCACTTGTTTTGCGTCGGGCTCTGGTTTTTTTTGCCTTTTCCTTGCCCTGGACTATGTTGGCTTCTTTCTTGGCCTTGTCCTTGGTCTCCTTCTCCTTTGACCTGTCTTCCGCCAGCTTGGCTCTCAGTTGCTCCACTGAATTTCGGTTATTCTTGACTTTTTCGGTCAGCGTAAAGGTTACCGATGGTAAAGAAAATTGTCTTTTTCTTGCGTCCATTATAACTCCCTTCGACCCCACAAAGGACGAAAAACTGTGCCATCCACAATCTTGAAGATACGATAAACCCGAAAGCGCAGCATCACACATTTAAACCACCATTTATATTCATATTCAATATTTTTTAAGCCTTTAATGGGGAGAAACTTTCTTTGTGTTTTATACAAAAATTTAATTACACTTTTATTGTTTTTGCATTGTTTTTTTTTTCCGGATAGATGGTTGTTTTCGTTAAATATACAATAGAGGAGTAGGAGGAGGAGAAACAGGAGTGGAACATTAGCAGAACTCTTAGAGGTATTTCATTGAATCGAAAGATGGAATCCTAAAGCGAGTCTGGGGTACTATATGGTAGATCGTAATTCTAAAGGAGGAAGCATTTGATATGTTGTAAAAATGTTTAAATATATATACTATATATATATATGTATATATAAGTATATTAATATATCATGCATTTTATCATCTATTTGTTTATTATATATTAAAAAAAATTGTATATATTAAAAAAAAAAGGTTTTATATATAAAAAAAAATATATTATTTGTATATTAAAAAAAAAATTGATTTAAATAATTAATAACAATATGGAGTGCAGTGTGGAGTGTTTGCAAGCAATTTTTTGAGTCGCTTTTCAATTACTTTAGATTTACCAGTACGGCGTATAGGGTACGGGGTATAGGGGGATCTGTTTTTCGATTTCCATTAATCTGGCACTCTACATAGTCGTATATGTAGCTTAGTTTTTAGCTAATATTAGTATTAGTATTAGTATTACATTCGTGCATATCCTAAGTATTCGATTCGTTAAGTTTAGGTTCTTTAATCGATTGCATTCTTGCCGAGTATTTTCGTTTTGCAGCTAATTTCATTGGGTCTCAGTGTCTGTCTGTCTGTCTCTGAAGAGAGAGGAGTGTGTTTTTCGTAATTTACAATTCTTAAGAACTATATAACAACATTGAATGTTTTTGTGTAGGCTCTAGATTCTAGACTAACTCTTAGTCCTCAGGGGACTGCTAGTGTTCCTAAGTTCCTAATTAGACGTGTTCTAAGGAGTGCCAGAGGAAGGATCCATCTGCCTGCTCTGGACAGAGGCACCAATACCTTGTCCAGCTGGAGCTGTCTTCTATGGACTCTTCTATCCCGGATTCCCTTTGCGAGCGCTGAAGAACATGCGCGCCACCTTGCCCAACGCCCCCACAAAGTCCCAGCGATCGCCACTGCCAGCGCCACCCACAGCGGCAGGATGATGATGATGAGGATGATGCTGCTCCTGGTAGGCAGAGTGCTGGGACTGGGACTGGTGCTGGTGCTGGTGCTGCTGCATCTGCATCTGGCACTGGCCCAAGCCGTCGTCCATTACCTAGGAGGGCGTGGAGTACCAGCCGGTGGCCGGGCTGCCCTTGTGGTACAGATGGAAGCTGGAGTGCGGGGCAAAGTACTGCGCCTGCTCCAGGTTGCTGTAGGTGACGCCACCCTCGGTGGTTGTGGTGCTCGTGCTGGTGGCATGACCGTGCGGATGCGGATGCGGGTGCATCGTGGCAGTGTATGCCTGCGGCTTCAGGGGCAGCGTGGCGGGGGCGCCGTCAACGGATGGAGCCGCGTACTGTCCTCGCAGGGGATCGGCGTACTCGTAGCCACCGCCGTTGCTGCCCAGGATGGGGGCGGAGGAGGGCGGCACCTTGCCGGAGTTGTTGGAGTCTCGCGGGGAGACAGAGCTGGGCGGCGTCATGGCGTTGTGGTAGTCAATGGAGCTGTGATAGCCGCCGTAGGTGGACACCAGATTGGTGAAGGCATCGGACGAGCTCTTCTGGGGATGCACCCCGGCGGCGGAGGCGGCTGAGTGGAGCTGCAGGTATTGGTTCTCGTATGAGGACTCGCTGCCAGGCGGCGTGGGCAGCGGACCCGTCTGCTGCTCGCCGTAGAACACCCCGGGACCGACTCCAGTGGGCGTCTGTCGGGCCGTCGCCCGGATCACGCTCTCCCGATTGGCGTACAGCTGCCGGAGCAGGGCCGTGGCCGGCATGGGGGCGGGTGGCTGTTGGTAGGGCGTTCCGATCCACTGGATCGTGCTGCTCTTCTCGTTGGGATCGATCTGCTGTTGCTGCTGCTGCTGCTGCTGTTGCTGCTGGTGCGCCTGGTGCTGCTGCTTGATGAGAGAATCCGCACTGAAGTCGGTGCTCGGCTGCGACACGGCCACGGACACAGACACTGGTGATGGCAGGTGCTTGGACATCGCGTGCTCCAGATCCTTGACTGCCGAATCGGCTGCAGGCTCGTCCACAATGGAGGGCAGGCGACTCCTTGGCTGAGACTCCTCCATGGCCGGTAGCTTGGCCATCGGCTGCTCGACATTCACCTGCTCCTCCTCCGCCTGCTGTGCCGCCTTGGTCTTCCTCTTTCGCTTGGTTGTGGTCCCACCGCTCGTCGTGCTGCCAACGGGCGTTGGGGCGGGAACTGGCGTGGCCACAGTGGCTGGCAGGACGCCCACACCCGCCTCAATCTCCACTCCCAGCGGCGTAGGGCTGTCCTTGATCAGGGACAGGCTGCTCATGCTGCTGCCATGCGAGGCTGTGGCACTGCGTCCTCGTCCGCGGTGCGAGTGTCCCTCCGGGTCGGACTTCGAGTCCGTCAGCTTCATTTCCCCGGCACTCAAATGGCCATTGCCATCGCCCGCGGCATCGCCTCCCGGGGAGCCGCTGCTCTTGTCATTGCCCAGTCCCTCCTCGTTCTTGATGCTGTCCATGCTCGGCTCCAGCTGGCAGCAGTCCAGGATGAGGTTCTCGTTCTCCCGATTGCTATGACAGAAAGAGAGAAACAGCAGGTCTTAGTCGGCTGTCAGGCTTGGGTATGTTCCTGTATGTGCCACTTACCTGATCACATAGTTGACGCAAATGATGTTCTGCTCATCGGCGTTCTTGGTGCTGCAGACGACGGTGGCGCATGTCTGGAGCCAGGTGTAGCCTCCACTCTTGTTCATCAGTCGGTAATAGCCCGTCAGCACTTGGCCCTTTTCGATCACTGATCAGGGGAAAAGGAGACAAATTGGTAAGGGGTTAGGTTAGTGCTGGAATCCATCTCCAAGTCCAGGAAAGCTGGTACTTACAATCCGAATGGCTCTTGCGCAGTCGGTTGGCGTCCTCCGCATGGCACAGGGAATACAGGCTCTTGTTCACCAGATCCTCGGGCGTATAGTCCAGTAGATCGGACACCCTAAGCAGAGAACAGAGGCAGTTAGAGGAGGTTGCCAGAGCATAGCGTCCAAGTGAGGCTTACCTTGGCTCGCAGTGAGCTACTTTTAGGTCAAAGTTCACGCGTGTCACGAACATATCACACTCCAGGCGGATCTCGTGCACAGAGGGCGGTGGCAGGGCAATGGCCAGGGCCACCATGCCCAGGAGCGGAGGCTGCGACTTGCGGCTGTGCGAGAATGTGTACTGGGGCCGGAGCTTGCAGAGGAGCAGGACGACCTGTAAAGGCACGAAAGAGGAGGCGGTCCTTGGGTTAGATATTGGATCGGACGGTGCTCAGAGATCAATGGAGTTCGGGATCTGTCATGATGGAGGCGGATGCAAGGCCTATCGCTATAGAAGGATTGCCAGAGTGGGAAGAAGCTTTACAGAGGATTGCAAGACCTGGTTCCGATTTGTTTCATTTTGATTTTTTCGGGGAATATTTCGGTGCACATTGGGAGAGGAGAGTTCGAGAAGCTCTGCCATCCCATACCGCGTTGATCCTAGATATATGATGAGTGGGAAGTGCAGAATGTTGAAGGTGGCAGTACGATCGCAATGATAGATGTGTGATTGCTTGAATGATGGTTGATTGATGGATGGTTGAAGGTTGAATGCTGCTTCCGCACTATAGTTATTCGATACTGATCAATCTAAAATCAGTCAGTGGTTCGTTTGTTCTTTTGCAAACACAAAAAATATATGGCCGAAATAGAATAAAACTTAAAAACGAACGCAGTCCTCAAAATAGTTTTGATTTTGCCTTGCATTTCATTTATGTTTTTTAATTTAAATTTAAATTTTGTTTTTTTTTGGTTTTTTTTTTGTTTGTTTTTGTACTGATTTCAATTGATACGTACCGAATAGTTTGAGCCCGGATTCTTAACGTTTTTAGCGTTATTGTTAGCGTTATTATTAGCGTTAGCGTTGTTGCAATTGCTGGTTGCATCGCTGGCCTGTAGATAAGCAGTGGATGGGATGGTAATACGTAAAACAGGTAATGCACAAGAATGCTACACACACAACAAAAACAGCTTTCTCTATGGGTTAGTCTTTCACAGTCGCTCACACTCCCCGTACAACAGCCCATAAAAGACCGCTTAGCCCCAAGGAAATACACAAAATACAACCGAAAAGAAGTACAGTTAGCTCTACTGCTACATAATGGTAAATGAAGAAACTGAAAGAAAGAACCAGAGAGGCTCACTGGGAGAGAGAGAGAGCGACAGAGAGAAATCTCAGCTCGAGGTGGAGCTAGGATTGAGAGCAAGGATTGGGAAACTCACCCGGTAGCCGGAGGACTTGAAGTGACATCCGCGCTTTGTCAGTGTGGACTTCATCCGAACACAGAAGCTCCGGTCGTAGCCCTTGTAGCCGCTCGTGGAGGCCTGCGTCATGGAGGCGGCCACTGAAAGGAGATCGCAAACAACAGAATGATTATAGAATGCTCGAAACTTCAGCAGATCTCTCTCTCTCCCCCAGGAATCGGTGCACCCGCCCTTCATCCCATTTTGTTGAGGGATGGGATCCATGACTCGGACTAGACTCACCATCGGGATTGTTCGTACCGTGTGTGCCACTGCCATCGTCGGAGGCGCCCGATGTGGGGGAGGCCAGGCCGGCGGCACCGCTGCCGCCACCTCCGCTGCCGGAGCTGCCTCCTCCGCCGCCGCCGCCGCCGCCGCCTCCGCCCCCACCGCTGGTGAGGCTCAGGCCCAGCTGGTCGGCAATCTCCGAGTGATCCGCCTGGTGGATGTAGTCGAATATGCTGCTGCCCGTCATCTCCACCTGCGAGAGGCCCAGGTAGATGGACACCGTCTCCGAAATGTAGAGGAAGCGCCCGTCTGCCGCTACGGCCAGAGCGAAGCCATCGAGGGACTGTGTGGTGCGAGAGGGAGAGGGGAATCGTGAGCGTAATGATATGCACAAAATGGCTGCGGGTAGGTGCTCTCCGCCAGCACTGCTGCCATCCCGCTCTGGCGCACGCACTTACCTGCAGTATGTGGGTGCCCTGATGTTGCTCGAACAAATCAACAGCGGGACTGCGTCGAATGGCGGCACCTGCAATGGGAAGAGTGGGAAGAGTGGCGTGAATATGTGAACAAAACCGAAAGGGAGATAATAGAAGAGAAAAACATGTAAATGCTTGGGATATTCGATAGGAGTGAAAGAGGGAGAGCAGGAGCTACGAACGTCCAACTATTTTAGTGGAATATCACGCTCTTCTCGGCAAAGGTCACATGTGTGAGGGACTCCGGGACTCCCCCTCCCCCCACCCTCGTCCCATTGAAAGCTTGACCCAACTCATAAATGATGCATTCCCCTGTAACACCATAGCACAACACTTCAGAGCAACTCCCATCCACTCCACTCCCATTCCACACACACACACACACACACACAGACAGACAAAGACAACAACTTCCACTTCCAACCTGGACCAAGGACCAAGGACCAAGGACCGAGGACCAACGACCAAGGACCATATCCCATAGAGCGACCACAAGCCATGGATGGCATCATAAATATCCTAAAGAGTACTCGTACGATTGCGGCGTCCCTCAATATTTTCTCAGCTGATGCCCGATATGCGATGCCCAATTCCGGAGCATATTTATTTAATTCAATTATAGAATTTTACGATTATGGCTTGAGTAGGGAGAAGGGGAACGGGAGGGGGAACGAGAGGGGGAACGAGAGGGGGCTTGACCAAGTAATAATTCGCACAAGTGCAAATCGCTTCGTATGAAGCACATTCATCCCGATCCCATCCCATCCCATCCCATCCCCTGGCCGTGGCCGTGGCCCTGCCCTAGCTGTCTGTGTGGCACACCCACCCCCCCACCATACCCCATACCCCATACCCCGTGCCGTATACCGACTAAATCCCCAGCGATTTCCAATGCCTCAACGCGATAAGTTGGCAAACAGTTTCCGCTTCCGCTTGCGCCTTTTTTCTTTGGCCATATGTGGCGCTCCCGGGGCTTTTGGGTTTTCTAGTGGGTGAGAGGGGGGGCCTTAATGACCTTCAAGTCTGTGGCCCTACCAAATATTTTCTCTGCCTTTTTTGTGGATTGTGTGGGTCAAATTGAAGTGCTTTTTATTGCCCCGCAGCTTGTTGCACCTCACCCCCTCGAACACTGGGTTTTCTGGGTTTAGTTTCGCATAATAATCCAATTGAATGGAAGAAGAAGGCGTTGCTCCGCCCTCCCCTGCTCTGCTCTGCTCTGCTCTTTGTGTCCATACATAACGCCCCATTGATTTTGGATTATTTTTTTAGTGCCTTGACTACCTTTCTGGCCTTTTGATGGCCCCTGTCTCGTTTTTGGCTCTGCCACTTTGCCACTGCCAGCAGCTCCCACTCTCTAAAGCGCTGAGGCAGCCTTTGAATGGCGTCTGAGATGCAGAGAGAGAGGGAGAGGGAGAGACAGAGACCCATCCAACAGTCGTGGGCTGTCGTCGTGGAATGCCTTTTGACGTGACAATGCATTGTCGTCGTTGGAGCATGACGTGGAGCGCTCCCAGTGCGGAGTGGCATGGCATGAAAATGGATTCGGAATCGGAATCGGTTGACAATAAGTCTGTTGCTGTTGCCGTGTTGCCGTGTTGCCGTGCTGCCGTGTTGCTGTGTTGGGAAATTCACGCCATGAATTTGCTTTCAATGTTAGGCTTTAAAGTGGAGGTTGAAATGTCGACAAACTCTACGGCTATGGCTCTGTGCACTGATAAGTGAGTCAGGGGGCATTGGAATATAGAAAGATTGCCAGGGGAAACGCAGCAAAATAAGCAGAGGTACTTTATTTAAGCTTGAAACTGATAACAGGCAGAAGAAGTACAAAAAAGTCCACTATTCCATAGAAAATTCCCGAGTCCACTCGGGACTTGTACCTGTACACTTTTCAAGAACAGTAAACCCCATTCCATCGACATTTCCATAGCAAAATCGTTAAAGCCAAATCAATCACTTTAATGGGGCCTTCTGAAATTCCACAAACTGTCACAATGACACACTCGCCCACGGCTCGAAGACCCCCCTCTACACCAGACCCCTTTGAGACGATGAGACCCCTCCAAAGCCACTATTTCTGACCAAAATGGCCGCGCATGCGCAGCAAATAAAAATAAATTGCGGCTTAATAGTGATTTTTTATGCAAATTCCGGCAAAAGCCCAAAAAAAAACATACAAAAAAAAAACAATAAACTTTTTGCTTGCAAAACCAAAAATATTTAAGGTGCGCAAGCATAATTTTTGTCATAGAAAACAAAAAAAAAAATTAAAAAATAAACTGAAATTTTGATTTCACTTAAGGCTAAGACCCGCACCGCGCTCTTGCCTCTTCTGCAACACGAAATGTAGGCAAATGTGTTTCCTGCTTTCGGTTTTTATTGCCACTCATTCTGCCCCCGCCTTTCCCCTTCTTGTTGGCCTCTTGGCCCCCCTCTCTACTCGATTTCCTCTCTAAGCCGCGATCCAATATGGCTGCCAATATGGCGACCCTTCGGCGTACAGTCGCCGACAAATGCAAATGAGCAGAGCGGAAAATTTCACTGACTTTCACAGAAGGTTAACGGCTAATGGTAAATGGTAAATGGTAAATGGTAAATGGTTGATGGTGGATGGTTAATGCTTAACGGCTAATGGAAGATCTCTCTTTTTCGATCTTGTACTTACTTTTGAGCTTGCTGCTGCTGGAGGCCTCCCGCGTCCATGGCGGATCCCCGTGTCCGGAGAAGTCTCTTAGCTTCAGATAGCTGATGGTCAGTCTTATGATGGAGGCCTTGTCCAGTTGGCTGGTGATGGCCGCCGGCAGGGGCAGCATTTTGGCCAACTCATAGAACTCGTAGTTCTCCTTGCCCCGTCTCGAACGTGCCGCATCCCGCGACTTTTCCTTGCGCAACTCCAGGATGCTGTGCAAGGGAGAGAGAAGACAACTGTCAGGCATACTCGCAAGATACAATATTTACTCAAAAGAATATGAAAGATACATAAGTAGACACTGACGAATGGCACTGACACTGAGATGGCTAAATGCTAGAGCTGAGGATAGGCTCGAAGATCCGACGATCGACGATCGACGAAGAGCTCTTTGGACACCTGTCAGCGCAGAGGTTTCGGCCATTTGTTTGGCCAACCCACGCCTTTGTGATCGAATGGTGTCAGAGAGCTCTTGACTAATTGCCACGCATTTGTCAGTCTTTCAGCGCTCATTCAGGGAGAGAGGAGAAGATATGGTATGGTATGGTATAGTGTGGTGTGGTGTGGGGTTCTCCTAGGTCTTAGGACTGCAATTGTTCTCCACAGACAGTTTGTCTCTGCTATACAAATTGCATCCCATTTATCCAAGAGATTTCCCTTCGCTTCATGTGAGAGTTTTTCCAACTGATATTTTCATTATGGTCTGCTGGAAACTCTCTGAAATCTACCGCCCTGATCCGCATCTTTGTCTCTGTCCCATCTCTTTCCTTAAATGCATACATGGAAACTTTTCATTCACTAAACTTGCAAACAGTCCTACAGTCGGCCTCCACCTCCTCCTCCTCCTCCTCTTCTCTGAATGTGCTACAAAGTGCTGAGCCGCTTCTGCTTGGGTTATGGATCTCTGGGATATGGTTATGGATATGGATCTCTGCAACCTTCTGGCGGCTTTCGCTATCTGAGAGCGGCCATCTCTCAGAGAGGCATCTTCGTCAGAAAACTTGAGACTTTCAGGCTTCAAGCCTTCATAATTTACGTTTGTTGACAACTTCTTTGTTGTATGTTGGCTCGTATTGTTGCTGTTTTGACTGTTGCGTTGCAGTGAAATCTCTGCTGCGCTATAGACAAAAGTCCAGGGTATTACGGTTTGACGTTGAGGTACAGTTGAGGAGCCAATTGTGAGTATGGAACGCTAGAAGGCTTAATGAAAGATTCCACTTTTGGACCCAGAATTTGTCGAAATCTTAATGAACATCTCTTGATTTCAGGAGGAGTTCTCTTGGCATTCTTAAGAATGCCTCAAAGCTCATATTTTTCCTTTTGAGACTACACAACAGCATTACAAGACATTTACTGCTTGAATTGAAGTACGATTGTTCGATATGAACCAGAAATATACCCATAAGTTAAGTATAAATACCGCAAAAATACCCTGCAATAAATCTCATATCAAACCCCAGGACATCCATTTCTCTTCTCATAATTCATATCATTTTCCCCACGTCCTTCTTATTTCTTTGCATTCATCCCTAAGAAATCCATTTCTTGAATCTTTCCTATCAATTGCCTACCCCTGAAACTTCCTTTCTTTCGTCGTTCGATTTTTACTTCCATTTCAACACCGACCCTTGGGTAGGGCATTCCTGAAGTCGGTGTGGGCCCACAACTAAACGACAGCTGTCTTCATTTTTGTACATTTTGTGGTCTTTTAAATTTATTTTAATGCGCTCATCACCGGGCTTGAAGCTTCGTTTTGTGTGGCTTTATTTGAGCCGCGTCGGCTTCTGGCTCTGAAACTTCATCTTCGGATTTGGGGCTTCAACTTTGGCCGAGAGTCTCGGTCTCGGTCTCCGTCTACGTCTCCGTCTTGTCTGAGATTTGTATCTCCACTGCGGCCCGTCGTCGTCTCCGTCGTTGTGGGGCCATAAAAATATTTTTGATAATTAAAAAGAAACGCCGTCGTCTGTGCGGGGTTTTTTGCCACGGGCCAAGCCAGTTTTCCCTTTGCCTGCTGCCACTTGCTTTTTGTTTAAAGAGCAACAATTTTAATTAGTTGTGTGGAAATTACACTAAAAGAGATGCCACACAGTACTCTCGTACCTGAGAGGTACATGCCGTAAACGATTTCCAAATAAAAACGATATGGTTCAAAAACCTCGCTGTGAAGCAGTGGGATTGTATCCCTCTTTTCGCAAATTAAAAGGAAAAACATTAATCTTCACATCATCAATATCGAAATGCCATTCAAATGAGGCACAAAGATGTTGCAAGAAGGGAGGTGGTTGCATTCCCTTGACAAATGATGCCACGGCCCCGTTTTAATTTCGCACAGAATTCGCCACTCTCTAACGTTGCGTACAAATTGCCTGTCATTAGCCTTAATTGCCTGAAAATCGAACAGCTGATCGGCATTATTGCCTCAGTATTGGTGAGCTTTGAAAGCTCTCTATTGCTTCCAAAGAAATTTCCTCTCTTCAGGGGAATGTGTGCGTGGTGTGTCCCCTATCTGTGTGAAAGTTTCGCACAGAATATCTGTGCATCTTCGAAGGGTCCCTTTTTGGGTAGTAATGTAATTCTTTTCCACTTGATTGCTTTAGGTGAGCAAATATTTTTATAGAGACTCAGATTCGATTCGATTAGCGGCTTAAGCCGGGAATTAAGGTAGCCTAAGCGGCTTACTGCGGTCACAGAAGGGAGAAAGAAAGTCACCCAAGTCCTTCGTCTCTCTCTTTGTTTATCCTTCGGTTCACACAGCAGAAACACAGGCGACACATAAAGGAATATGAGAGGGTGAGGTCCTTTGTCAAGGTTTATGGCCTGAAGGAGCAGAGAGTACCGTTACCGCTTTATCAGTTCTACTTTGTTTTTGTGTTTGAGATACTGTTAAAACTCAGCGGGACGGTAGAAATGTCCTTTTGCTATCGAAATTCGTGGAAATTACAACAGGAATCGTATTGACAATCGCCTCCAATTGGAAGTAGATGATGGACAAGACGTTTCCTGATGATTTCTATAAAATTTCCTTTGCAGAACTGACTGAAAATATTCCCGTCGTTGACGGGTTTTCATATCAAATCGAAATTTTATGAAATATCTTAAATATATAGGCTAACAATCATATGAAGAGTGTCACCTCAATAGTAGTTTCGAGAACTATGATAGAGTTTCTATAATTTGGTATCAGTTTTATTCACGAAAATCGTGTCTATTTAGTTTCAACTGAATTTCTATAATAAAATTGACCTTATGTTATCCTTAATGATTTTTGACATTTCTTCATCTCATGATAATAAATCTATGAAACTAAAGGAATAATCCTCTCCAGATTGTACTTAAATAGAAATTGGAAGAATTAAGTAAGACTTTCTATGTTTCCCAATGATTTTAGATTAAAGCTTTTGCTAATTGAAATAATAATAGGCTAATACACTATTTATAAGGAAATAGAAAATAGATCCGCAAAAGGTTTCCCATCAATCAAAGAGTTTTCCCCATTCGAATGGCTACCAATTTCCTCTAAGGTTCCTTCTCTGGATTCGTACTAACCCCGGTTCGATGGGCTGCTGTTGGGCATGCATTCCGGGTCCCCCCGGCTGATGCTGATTGGGCATTTTGTTGTATGGGGCCATGCCGCAGAGGTCCTGAGCGGGCACCATCCAACTGTGGGTGAACGGCACCGTGGGCATCCCCAAGGACCCCATGGTGGCGGCCATGTGGGAGCCGGGATGACCGGGCGTCGGCTGCCGCTGATAGCCGGCATAGTCCATGGCCACGGCTGCCTGATATGGCAACATAACGATCTTATGGGTGCTTAGGATCTGTAGAGGTAGTTCTTCTTCTTAGAGACAGAGTATATCGATGGATGATCTGGCACTGGGTTTAACACATTTTTCACTATATATTGCACTTGGTTGAGGCTTGGGTTGAGTGGGGGATTTTGTGGGTACTTTTGAAGGTCAACAGCGGTGGTGCCTTGTCATCGACGTGTGCCGCATCCTTTTGTTGTCCTACACACGCGCGTACGTGTCTTCAATTATCCTTTGAGATAACCGTGGGGGCCGGGGCCGGGGACCGGGACAGGGACTCACGCACGAGACACGGAGGAGTCGACTCTTCGATTGGAATTCAAATGAGGAGCGCGGCAATCGACGCGTCCGGCTAATTTATCGCCCGGAATCGGCACTTGGCACGTCGCTGGTCCGTCTCCGTCCGATGTGGAATATTGGCAACGGAATGAGGCGCAACCCAGAACTTGGACACGCACCGAAACGGAGAGAGAGACAGAGAGAGAGAGAGAGAGAGAGGGCGTGGGGGCCGTGGCGGTGGCGTACGTGAAACTGCACTTGAATGACGAGGCACGGAAAAAAATTACGGCTACGGTTACAGTTACGATGCGGCACGGACACGTCTACGTCCGTTGCTGTTGCTGGCGGAGCGAAGAATAATCCAGAGTCACGTTTCTCATCCGAAGAGGGAAAAAAACAACAGTACATCCCAGCAGCAGCCGTCAGCGTCGCTGCCCACGAAGCCCAGGCCCCACCATTCACCAGCAGAGTGACAGAGAAAGAGCGCTTACAATATTTTGGGGGTGACATCTTTGACTCGACACGAAGCCGAGGCCCTGGGACACGAAGAGCCCAGCCGAACATTCGTGTGTTCTGTGTGTGTGTGTGTGTGGGTGAGCACCTGACACAGCGTTCGGTCATGTACAGTGCGCGGCGGCACCAGTAGCATTTTAAGCAGCCTCACGCTCCAGATCGCTCTCTCGCTCTCTCTCTCTCGCATTCGCACTCGAACTCTGTCGCACAGGCACAGCATAAACCATGACTGTGTGTGTGTGTGTATGTGTGTGTGTGTGTGCGTGCAAATGGGCGGGACGTGACGTGCCGTCGAATCGGAATCGACATTGCGCGCATACGAAATGAGGCCGCCGAAGCGAGACAGAGCATCCCACTGCCTCTGTCCACATCCACGCTGCATGGGTGTGCGTGACAGAGCGAGATAGCTGGCTGGCACGTACATGCTGCAGACGCCGCATTGTAAACTGGTTGGCAGCGTCTCGCTCTGGCATAGGGTGGGCGAAGGCAGGCCCATCATTGCGTCTCGCTTGCGTTTATATACTTATGTGAGATGTGGTGGCGGGGGGGCTAAGCATAGCGGTGGACGACGGGGGGTAGTGGCGGAGTGGTGGAGCTTTTGTTTTGGGGCTGGCGTCACGCGCAGCAATTAGTTTACTTCTTTACACATTTGGGAATTTCTTTGGCTGCCTCTCTATCGCTCTCTCGCTCTCGCGCTGGCTCGGCGCTCTTCTGGTGCGTGGGTGTTGCCGTTTGCCTCGCTCTCTCCCTCTCCTTCTCCTTCTCATGCATGCTTCTTCTGGTTTTTATGTGTGTTTGTGTATGTGACCGAAATGCCAATGACAACGCGACAAAACAGCCTATAGCTGGCCCCACTCTCTCCGCTCTCCGCTCCCCTGGCATCCTGTAAGCAGGCAGGCCCCTGGACCTCCTGGACAGGTAGAAGCTCTGTCTTCTAGGATTTCCTTGGAGGAGGAGGAGCAGGATGTGCAGGATGGGGGCGTTTTGTTATTCCAATCTCGCACAGACTGAAGCTGTCTCTTTTATGTGGCTGTTGGTATAGCAGCACCTCCACAGCACCCCACCGCAGGAATAAAGGAGGACCACACAAATGAAGCAAATGGGAGAAGGAGAGTCAACACCCTTTTAATTTGCAGCCATGGCGCTTGCCACAATCAAAAGATTGGCTGGAAAACATGAAAAGTGCTTCCTTGGAGGAGGGGTTCTCGAACAGACAATGATTGATATACGAACACCACAAGGAAAGTTCTCTAAAGCGGACTGAAGGACTGAAAAAGTAAAAGCCCAATAGTGAAAAGTATCCATATATCACGCCTTGAGGATCAGAGAGATTTCTGTCTTGGAACGATAGGCAGGGTATCTATAGGATTAATTGGAGTTCGAATTGATAGTTGCCTCATAAAGGAACAGAGGGAGACTATCTAAAAGATAGCCTCTTTTAGATTGTATTGTATCCACCTGTGTGTATCATCGACATGTCAATCCATTATCCTTAACTTACAATCGATATCGCTGCTTTCATTCATTCATGTTTTCCCAAATCCAAAATCCAAAATCCCATTTCCTTTTTGGGTTAAACTAGAGCAAAGCAAAGTGTATTTCTTGGCCAAAACGACTTGCAATCCAGCCAGCCCCCCTCAATCCATTACGTAAACGTAACGTAACTGGAACATGTGTAGAAACCGAAACGTGATCGATTTCTTGAGCCTGAGTGGGAGAGGGACAAAAGAGCCAAAAGAGAGACAGAGAGAGAGAGAGAGAGAGAGAGTGAGACAAGTTGGTGTAGCGAATTCTCCCACAATTACGGCGGCGGCAATTGTGAATTTTAAAAAGGAAACGTGCCAAGTGCCACCGACCAGACCCCTGCAGGGGCCGCAGGGAGGGGGATTCTGCCCAGAGGAGGAAGAAGAAGAGGAGCTGAAGCCGGGTGGAAGGTGGACAATGAATGAGGAACTGAAATTCATGCCCCGCGCCATAAAAATCGAACGTGGGGCAAGGGACGTGGGATGCGTTCGTTCGCGCTTCCGGTTCCAGAGACAGTAGCAGCAGCAGCCCCGAGAGCTGTGTCCACGTCCGCGTCCAGACATCGAGCAGACATGACCATCATCATCGTCGTCATTGGACATCATCGTCGTTCGGGTGGGGACGGGACTCCTGTTGTAGGTCGGAAATTGGTAATGCGTGTGTGGACTCCATGTGGACTCTGATTTTGTGGACTCTGTGCCCTGAGGACAATGGGATGTGGACATGGACATGGACATGGACGTGCAGCGATGCGTGTGGGCTGATTTCGTCCGAGGGGAAGGGGGTGGGTGGTGCTGGTGCTGGTGCTGGTGCTCGTCCGAAAGGTGCGTGCCGTTGCGAGTGCGTGCTGCGGGACATGAATGTTCATGTCGGTTTTCGGTTTTGGATTTGGTTTCATTTTCAGTTGCGTTTTGTTTTTGCCTTTTTCGAAAATATCGCCACAGAAAATGGTATTCCAGTCAGGAGCAGACTTTTATGAATGAAAAGGAGAGGGGTTCACAGTGGGCTTCAGAGTGGGCTAGCTGGTGGTAGAGGAAGCACGCTTCTAAGCTTCAAGTGTCTGACGCACGTCTGGCGCTCTCTTCGGCACCGCCTCTCTTTCGCATATCACGTGCACGTACATATTGCCATGTGCAATACATCAAAATCGAAAGAACCGCAACAATGAAGACGAGAGAGAGGCAGGGCAGGCCGAGCCGGGCCAGAGAGCGGAGACCGAAGAGCTCAAGAGCAAGTGGAAGAGTGGGAGCGGGAGAGAGCAAAGTTTTAGCAGGTTCATTTCCAGCCATCACGTTTACTCGGACACACGAGGCGTCCATGCCAAGCAGCTCTGAAGGAACGTGATAGCCACAAAATATAAAGAACCAATGCAAAAACAAAGCAAACAAGGGAAACGTTTTGAAGGCGCCTGGAAAATGATCGATAAACAAGCGATCCAGCGATAAGATAGGTAAAACCAGAAAGGATCCACCGAGGAGGCAGCCAAGAGCCAGGAGAGAGGAAGCAATAAACTAACTGCGATCAAAAAACTGTCACAATCTCTCTCCTGCTCCTCCTCCTGCAGCATTTCTCTTCGGAGGCGAGGCGCAGCCTCCATAAAACTGACGCGAGGTGATAAAATAGCAGAACACAATGATTCCACTGTAAATCCCTTACCATTCTCTCTCTCCCTCTACGAAGCACCAGAGGTCGACTACTGGATACCCACCAATTGAGTTGTACCTATTGGGAGGCAAGGAAATCCAACTAAAATTCAGTACGAAAGACTAGTTTTATAGTGAAATATTGGAGGGTAGGTTAATGCTAGGGTAAGATTGGAAATCGCTTTTCACTTGTAGAACAAGCACTGCAGCAGCAACAATATGCTCCACCTCACTGTCCGACTACGGGGTACCGAAAAGAGTAGCACAAGAAATGCATTCACATAACCGTTTATCAGCTTGTAAGATCTCTCTCACTCTCTTTCTGCTTGGGTTTTTATGGCCGCTGGCTAACTGTTTCTCGATTGTGTTACACCACACAGCAAACACACACAAAAACACACAGAAAAACAAAAACAAGAAACAAAACGAACCACAAACAACAGCCTGAAACAGTTCATAATTCAAAAACCACAAAGAGAGGGCCAACAATTAAGCAATAAAATACAAGTAAGAGAGTGGCAGAGTGAGGAGGAGTGACAAAGGTAGAGAGAGGCAGAAGCAGACGCAGAATCGGAATCAGAATCAGAATCAGAGGAAAAAGACCAAATGAAATGAAATCGGAGAAGTGCAGTTCGGGAGCGTGATCCTTATCGTAATTGTGCGTGCTTCTGATGAAGTATACTCTGCTCTCAGCCCCACTCTTTCCACTTTCCAGAAGGGTAATAACTTTTTCTTAACAAAATGATGAACTGCCTTAAGAATAACTTTCTTTCTCACTATTTTTAATGGGAAAAAGGATTGGGAAAGTGGCATTCTGACGTTGCTATAATTTATTTGTACTAAGTTTTCACAACTTTTCCACTGATTGATCCGTTCGAAAGCGATCGTTGACATTTGCTTCTAGAGGCAATAAATAAACGACAAAAGTGGTGGAAAGAGCAGAAAATTCAAGAGAGTCGCTCGGAGTACCCCGGCGTTAGATACTCTAGGGGGAGCTTCTGTGGGAGACTCTTCGCTGCGCTGCAAACGTCGTCTGTAAGTCATGGTATCCTCCTGCTTTGAGGGTATCACGCGGTCGCCTCTCTCTATCCTTGCTCGTTGCTGCCTTTGCTGCTGTTCGCTCACTTTTCTGGTATTTAGCTAAATAATTCGCATGCCAAACCGTACCGCAGACCCCGTCGAACGAAGATCGCATTTACTCGTAAGTCAGCGGCAAACACGAAAGTGTTCAGTTGTGATCGGAATTATTAATTAATATTCTTGCACCTTCCGAAACTGTGTCGGGAATCAGGCCATAAACTAGTGCACAATCGATGGGAGTACGATGAGCGATGGATGAGTAGGGGACCGACCGCGACCGCGACCGCGAACGAGGACAGTCCCCAGGTCCATGTCCACGTCCACGTCCATGTCCAATATGGCAGGCAGGTCCGCAGCCATGACCGTGACACAGGAGAAAAAACGAATGAGAAGACGGCAGAGTGGCCCACGAGGAGTAGGTGCAGTGCGGCGAGGCAGATGCAGTAGTACAAGGAGTAGCAAAAAAAGTAAACAGAAATCATGTGATCGACCACAAGAGCTTCTGTAAGAAATGGAAAGAAGAGAGGCGCCCTAGCTGTCAACCGCAGAAGGCTCTTACTCCCGCGCAACTCTGCTAAAACTCTGTCTCGATATTAAGATCCATACATACAAGGCATAGAGAATCTCAGAGAGAGTGCGGACCAACTACTATCACATGTACATATGTACATTTACATTTAGTCTCAAGACACCCTCAACATTAGTGTTAACAGAAGAGCAGCAGTGTTTAGCAGGAGAGCCACCGCCACACACTCCCAAAAGCGCACCTGTTACAGTGAACTTCTTTCTCTTTTCTCATTCCACTAAAACTAATGTAAAGGGCGCCCTTCTGCGAAGAGAGTAGCAGCTAACAGCGTAAAGAGCGGAAATGTTAACAGTATGCAGTGAGAGCTGACGCGGAGATCAACTAATTTGCATAAAAACTACTAAGTCTACGTGGAAATTGCTTTAAATTATTCAAAAACATTAATTTAGTGTTAGTGAAGTGACAAAGTAATGGAAATTCATGAAAAACATTCAAAATATCAAGGAAATGGAGCACTTGTGGTTTTTGCTTTCCCGCAGCCACTCGTCACTTAACAGCTTGGAGAGCGGCACTGTTAAGAAGAAGAGATTAAGAGATCCACATGATGCAATAATCAAATAGTAGGCGTTTAAGAGAACAAGTGAGTGACAAGTTCATTTATCTGATTACTTCCTGTTTGCGAGTAAAGAGCGTGGGAGCTTACACTGCCGAAGATCAAGAAAACATGGGTAGCTGCTAAGAGCGAGAATATACGTATAAAATGGAGTTCAATTATAATACTTTTAGCCCTTCAATGAGTTATTACAGTGGGAATATGCATTTTACAGTGTGAGTGTTTACCTTAAAATACCCGAGACATACCCACCCATTCGTAAATATTGCTCTATTCAATCTGCCGAATATACCCCGTCCCATACCCTCTCTCTTGAAGGGAGGCTGAGGCTCCCTTTTGCTGTCGCGCTGCTCGCGAGCTGGAAGCGTGTTCCAGGAGCCAAAGTGCATTCCTCGAATGGCTTGAGGTTGGTTAAAGTTGTTGCTGCTGTCCGAAGGGATGTGGGGCATGCGGCATGTGGCAGGAGGCAGGAGGCACAAGAAACATGAGGAATTTGCTCCAGGTTATCTGTGTTTTTTTCCTTTTGTTTATACTTTTAGTTTCTGTTTCTGTGTCTGTTGTCTCTCGCGTTTCTCTGTTTTTGTCAGTTTGTCATTTGCGTTGTTCAATTAATTGCAGAAATCAATTTAAGCAATGCCACTCTTTGCCTCATTGCGGCATTGTTGCTTTTGTTGCATGCTACTGCTGCTGCTGCTGTTCCAGTTGGTCTTTCCAGTTGATCGATTCATTGGAAACGGAGATTCGGGAAGGAATTGGGACTCGGGGATGGGCCTTCAACCCATCGACTGATCGACTGACTGCTGGGTTACGGCTAATTGCTACAAGATCTCTCGGACTCTGAGAACTAGAAAACTTGTCTATGGATTCATTCTTTCCCCCTCCCCCTCCTTTCTGGTACTCGCTTGATCTTCCGGCAGGCCCGGGAGCTTCTCTCAGGCCTGCAGCGACGGCAAAAAGAGTGTGACAACGCGCGACAGCCTCGAGATAAATCCAATTAGTCTGATATTTGTACTTTTTATGTGAGAATTCCCATTAAAAATGTAAAATGTCATAACAAAACGAGAACAAGACAACAAGTCAACAAACGGCAGACAGCTCACATCAAGTGCCGGCCCCAAAGAGGGGCCCCAGAGCCAAGGCGAAGTGGCTGTACCCTAGGAGGAGCTCACAGATGGAATCGATGGGAATCCATGTCTAAAAACTTCCGAGATTGTTGGACTAGTATCGGGCCACAGAATGAGTTTCCCCACAGATGTCCCTTGCTCCGAGGTCAAATCCAATGCAGAAGCAGAGATACCCACCCAACATTTAGATACCCTTTCGGAGGACAACGGTTTCTTCTTTCTTCTAAGCTGCTGCGGATACCAAAGTATCTCATAGATGCGACTCGAGCGCCTTTGACGTCTGTCGCCGACCGCTCAGCGACAGCGACAGCGACAGAAACGACGACGTAGACGACGACTTCTCTGGCATTCAATAATTTTATGCTAACAAATGCGATGCGCAGAGTCGCCGCCGCCGTCAAGTGGCGCTGAAAGAGTGACACGGGATGGGGCAGGGGCAGGGGCAGAGGTAGAGGCAGAGGCAGATGCAGAGACAGAGGCAGAATCATTTACGGTAACATTAACACTTACCGCGCATTCACCGAGGACTGGGCCGCGCCGATCTCCTCCATGGACTTTCTGCGAAATATACAGAATGGAAAGAACGAGAGAAAAGAAAGAGAGAAGAGAAGAAAAGAGGAAAAGAGGGAAAAAATGAATCACATTTAAGCCTGCGGCTGTTGAATTCGATTAGCGTGAAGCTGTTACGGCGGAAAAAGTTGGCATTTTCCAAATAAATTAAATTAGCCGATAAATGTCTCGGCTCCGGACTCACCTGTCGCCCCAGCATAAGGCATCCTCGCGGTATCTGCAATGGAAATGAAACAATGGGAATGGCATTAATATATGTGGAATCTTCCAGCTAGATCTCTCTCTCTCTCTCTCTCTGGAACAGCATCGTATATATACACGGCATTTTCCATTGGAAAGCACTGTCAGATCTCTCTCTTTGAATCCCTCAATGGAATGGTAATCTAATTTTTATTGGAGAGGTAGATCCCTCTCTCTCTCTCTACTCTCTACAAGGTCAACAGGAAGTCGTCATTCGAATCATTGAATCGTCGAATAAACAACAGATCGGGCGGGAGGGCAGCAATCTCCACAAATTATACAACAACTGAACATTATGTGGTTCCGACTTTATAATCAAGTGCAAGGCACCGAATTCTCTAAAATTTATTGATTTCTTCCTCACTTTCCAGCCACCTTTCCTCCTGTCTTTGTCTCTGTGTCCTCGCGGTTTCTGTTTCTCGCGGGACAACTCCCCGCCGAACGAGGAGCAGCGCCGTAAATCATTGCCCCCAAAAAATGTATGCCCCAGAACCCTATTTTGCCAGGGTCCGCAGCAAATTTGCTGACCCTTTGATCAGTGGATCGTCGAATCGCTGGTTTCGCTGCTGGATCGCTGCTGGATCGATCGATTGAAACCGTTCAGCTTCAGCGCCGACTGAACGGGGAAGGAAGTGATTTCTGGTCTCCATCCCCCCATTCCCCATACCCCATTCCCCATACCCCATTCCCCATCACCGATCACCGTCTCAGTCTCTTGGGGCAATTATCAAAATTGTAATTTCGTTCGTGGATTTTTGTTGTGCTTTAATTTCGTTTTGATTGAGTTCATCGAAGGTCGTAGGTCAGCACTGGGCGGAGCCCCAATCTCTCAAGGAAGTGCAAATTATCGGATAAGAGTATCGCATCTCTGTTAAAGAAAGCATTGCACTTTTTACAGGGGAAAGCGGAATTATTTTTCAGCTATAATTTCAGTTTCGAGTAATACTCGTATTGATATCCAATATCCAAACGTATTTCTGTATAAAAAGAGCTCAATTCTTCTACAGAGTAGCCTTTAGAGCTTTGAAAATCCCTCCTTTTACTTTTGGTTCTCTTTTAAAAGAGTTTTTCTTCAACTTGCAGATTTATTAAGGAATCAAGGAATGTTTTGTAATTCCCTTAAAGATTCTTTAAATCAAATAAATTAAGAGTTGACGACCAGTGGGCTTAAGGGTTTCTAAGAGTAGTTTAAGCACCTTAAGGGTGAAGAGCAGGGTCACCAATTCCCCACAGAGATCGGGGTCACCAGTTGTCCCTTGGTTTCACTGGACTTTCTCTCTTTTCCTCTACTCTCTTTCAACGCAACCCAACCTCTTGTCAAACAATGTCATCTACTGCTTTGTCCTTGCCCCCTGCTAAGCCCTCGGATGCCCCATACCTCATGAGAGACACGTGTTCTCCCTCAACGATCGATCGAAGGGGGAATGAATGCCAAGGCTCCAACCGACGAAGCAGAGGTGCCGCGGGGGGCAGCGAGAACATCTCCTGTGGCAGCTATTTTTAAGTGTTGGCATAAAAGGCTCCAGCAGCAGTGGCAGCAGCGGCAGCGGCAGCAATGAGATGTCAACATTGCAACGCAATGAAAAGAGCAAAAGTAAAGCCTCGATAATAACAGATAATTGTGTAGAACATAGGCCAACTATTTCCGCGGACTCCTGCCACTGCCACAGCCACAGCTACAGCCACTGCCACAAATCAAAGCCTCATCAGCGGGCCTCGCGATATAAAGTTCAACTGATCGAAGAATCGATGGCCAGGCAGCGGCCAGCGGCCAGCAGCCAGCACTCTCTCTCTGGGTTTTTGCTGGGGGTTTGCTGCTGGTGCATCCAGCAAACCATCCATCGATCCATCGATGCCAAGCGGAGTGTCACCCGGTTCTTCTGCAGATGAGAGGCAAGTGGCATGGGGCACAGGAGGCACAGGAGAGGCACTGCCAGAGCCCCAATACATCGTTGTCGTCGTCACTTTGATTGCGTTTCGTGCCCAATTAGTCTCAGAGCACTTGAGTGCGTAAAAACTTGTACCGCACCATAAATAAATTGGCATGAGGAAGACAGGAGCCAGAGCCAGAGCCCCAGACCTCCATCCCCCCATCCCCCATCCCCTGTTCTCCTGCTCTTCCTTCTGCTGTGATGCAGTCTCTCTGTCGAGACATCGTTGTCGCCAGGAGCCCGAGTGGAGTCGCCACCGCCACCGCCGTCGCACTGTCAATACTCGACTCCAACTCGGACTCGTATAAGGAGGTCTTAGGGTTCGCTTATGCTGCCTGCCTCTGTGCCTGCCTGCCTGCCTGCCTCTTTTTGTGGCAGTGGAAATTACATAAGGGCTATGACTATTAAGAGGTTGTCCTCCCTCAAGCAGTGGCCGGCCATAATTATGGAACATATTTCATAATAATAAGGTGTGTAATCTGCACATTTAACTAGACATCGAAAGCCCTCCAATTACAGTCCTCTGTCCTCTGATTAGGGGACAGAACAGGACAGGACAGAGCGATGCGATGTTTGAACATACTTAAAAAGCTATTCGTAAAGTTGTCATCGAGGGATCGGGGACTCTAGGAAGGTTCTTAGAAGTAGATTGTAGACTCCACGTTCCAGATCTCTGTCCAGGAATCAAAGCTAGCGTTTTCCCACCTCCAATCTAATCATTATCTAATCGTTTTAATTCTCCGATCAGTGATCTCTCACTTAAATCAAATCAAGCCACCATAACGATCGTATTTTCCCACACAACCCACGAGATATGGCATTTCATTTGATTGTTTCCTGTCTTCGGCTCGGTTCGGTGCGACTCGGTTCGGCTTATGAAATTTCATCACGATCATTATCCGATCAACGAAACCCGATTGTTGCCACAGTAGCGAATCCTCCCCTCCCCTCCTCTCCTCTCCAGCCCTCTCTGTCGTGCTCCGATCCTATCCGATCCCGCGACAGATCGTATTTACTTTTTGAATGATGCTGTCAAAGGCCCCAAAGCGATTTGTGGTTGGACACTGATCGCACACGCGCCCCCCTGTGGGGCACCACCCGATGTACGTACGCACCCCCCCTTCCTCGAGCCGGGGGCCTATCTATCATTATTGATTGTGCC